AGATGTATTTTCCCAATATATAGCAGTATAAATTTGTACAGCATTCCCAGACACAATTTATCAAAAGCTATGGAGACTTTAACAATGCTCATATTCTTTGCCCCAATAATCCCACTCCAAGGATCTACCTAAACAATTAGAGGTAAACAAGGACTTACTAAAAGTCTACTCATCACCATTATTTGCAGTAGGAAAAACTTGGAAATAAACTAAAAGGGGAAACCGTTTAATAAATTATGATAAATCCATACATTGGAATATCATGCAGCCCTTAAACTGAGTTATTATGGCAATGGAGAAATGCTAATTTATAGATGTATTCAACAACTTTTGTTAAGCAATTTATCCAAGGGCATTCAAATTGTTCCTTCATCAATATTTAACGGATACTCTCTCCGAGTTAACTAATTGGACTTCGGATCAGGTTTTTATTTTTGAGTTATAAGGCTAATGAAGTATTGATATAATATTAAATGACTGCAAATAAAGTCTGCACCCTAAATAAATGCTGACATTATGTCTCTACATTCGGAATGAATTAAAAAGGAAAAATACACTTTCGCATACATTTAGTAAATTTTCCCTGACTCCTTATAATGCATTTTTGCAAATGGAAAAGATGAATATTCATCAAGGCTCTCGGAATATATTACAGTTTAAACAGTTTGGTTTTAATATTTATAGTACATCACGAAATATAATTTTTTCATTAGGAGAAATGGATATGATGTCAAAAGACAGCCAGTGAAGAAACATAAAATTACACTACTTAACCTAATATTTAAAAGTTGAAAAACAGTATTTGAAAGCACCTTGCCGCTTCAAAAGTTAGGTATTCTAGAAAGGTATCTTCCAGTTTGTGCAGCTGGTAAATTTTGAGTAAAGATGAGGAAGGGAAAAAGCTAATACATTATCGTGTAAGGTAAAGACAAAAACTGCTACCTCAAATCAAATGATCCAAGGAAAAGTGCTTGTTTTCCTCCCTTCTGACAAACCATGCCAGTTAAGCCTAGCTCACAATCTCCAAGAAACATTTTTCCTACCAACCCCAAGAACACTGATGACAGCATTTCTTGGGACTGCAAAGTGCTGCACAAGAGTCCGCTCATTTAATCCTCACAATAACCTTTTGAAGTTATTACAATCATTAGTCCCATTTCACAGAGGAAGAAACTAAGGTTTACACAGTTAGTCCAAACTGAGGCTAATAAATGGCAAAACCTGGAGTTGATCTCAGGCAGCCCATGCTCTTAACCACTCTGTTTTTTCCCTTCGTTCTCATTTTTCAGTGGAACAATTACAGCCTCATTCCTGAATATGGTTTCCATAGTTAACGTCTCTCTGGCTTGAAGAATAGCTTCTTGGTTAGGCTACATAATATAAACCAAAAAAAAAAAAAAAATCATAGATTAAAAATAAATATGCAAGAGTTAGTTCTAGGGCACTGAAGATGTACAGAAAAGGAAATATATGTTTATGCACTCACCAAGTTCACTGAGCACCTATACTGTGTGCCAGGCACTAATTCTAGGCACCAGGGAAATGGCCAGGAAAACAGAATTATCTCCACCTTCATGAAACATACATTAGAGTAGTAAGAGACATACAACAAAATAAACAATGTGGTACATTGGACGGTGAAAAAGCTATGGAGAAAAATGAATGAAGTGAGATGTGTGGCAAATAGTGAACAGTTTGAAACAGGATGGGCAAGGAAGACCTCACTGAGGAAGAACGTGAACGGGACCTTCACACAAACAAAACGGATGAGGTACATGATCCAAATCTAACAGAAAATGGGAAAGAAATACTGGAAACTAATTTTCACGGTGCTTCTGCTGTCCATCTATTACTCCAAAGTACAAAAGTGGTGAGTATTTCTTATGATGGCCACATATACCATTTCTAAACTTCAGTCATTAAGGTTTACTACCTTATTTTCCTATAAAGAAATAAGTTACCACTGGTCCTGCTTTTGCCTCCTGAAATTTCCATCTTTCTTGCCAGAAAGCAGCATCTGTATAAATCCCTCTGCTTTTGACGACTATGACTTCTTTGATAAACTACCCATGTGTGGGGGGAGGGACAGAAAGATGGAGGAAGCAAATGGGAAAATGAGTTTTCCCCTCTTCAGATTAATGTATATGAAGTATACATCTGACACTTCATCAGCACTCCCGGCTGGTGTCCCAGCAGGCGGACACTGGCTGAGCATGTATTCTGCCAGCTACCAAGCTACTTAGGATGAATTGGCAACATGCCATTTATCTGAAATGCCCAATGTGTCTGGGAGAGGGAACACAACTACATTTAGCATTGCCAAGGAAAACTAGATACTTCAGGCTAGGAATTAATCTCCTCGAGAAGGTAGTTAGCATTACCTTCAAGCTTGCCTATGGCATTTAAATCACTATAGGTCATGCATTTACTAAAATTCATCCCTACCAAACCTCAGGGCCTTCATTTATATCTTACTAACATATTAATACCTCTCAGGTTGAAGGTCTATACTTTCCTGAAACGTATGTTGCTGAGATTAACCATGGGCTTGCTACATCCTGTGCAATGCCGTCATTTGGACATAAACCACTTTGATTCCTTATTTTTCTAATTCCACCAAACTTGAACACACATATCACTTCGACTTCAGTTATTCAGTGAATCAACAAAATATTGAAACCAATGTGACTACATGACTGCTTAGAAGCACACGAATGAAATTGCCTTGAATGTGGACACTGATAATCTTTTCACAATTTTGTCACCATATTTTATGAGCGTCTGATGTGGAACTAAACAGGATTTGGCCTATATGGACTTTAAGGCTAACCAGAACTGTAAGATGTACAGTGAACAGCAAAACCATGGAGACTTTAGATGGATGGTCTTATTAGGCCACCCATTATAGCATGCAGAATCACACCATCACTCTCACCTTGCAACTGAAGGAATCTGTCACTTTTCCATGATATTTATTCGTTCCTTCAACGTTATTTATTGAATGCCTCCTATGTGCAAGGCGTTGTGCTAAAAGCAACGAGTAGGAAGTCAAATCAGACAAGAATTCTACCCTCAAGGAGCTTGCAGTCTAGCAGGGAGATACTAGGCACAAACACAAACAACAAAAACAAAAGAGTACCATGATAAATGTTCAGGGGAGGCGGGGGGAAGGATGACTTACAGCTCTAAGACAGGGGTAATGGGGTGGGGAAAGTGGCCAGGAGGAGAGAATCAATCAGAATGAGGAATGTTCCACTGCACAATGCACCTCCACCAACATCAACTTGTTTGGAAGAAAAGGAAAAGAGAAAGCAGGAAAAAGAAAAAGAGTTCTAAAAGGTATACACTCTCACCTCCTCCACACCATTCTCTATCAAATCTCTTAATTGTAATTGGCAGAGATAATTTAAATATAATCCAATCCAAATTTGGTAGAAACATGAAACTGATTAACTTTAATGTGTCCCTTTAGCTATGTGGTTCTACAAAGGGTACCAAAAGCAGGAAAAGTCATTAACATTTGAGCGACATATAGAAATAAGTGATAAAACAGAGAAATCTGGACACATCTCAGCAGAACAATAAGGAAATCAAGGCGGTGCTCTGCCACGCAGCTCTCCTCTACTGCTCTTAATACAGAAGGTGGGGGACAAATAGTTTTCCACACGCTATAGTTGGGAACTAATGAAACCTCTAAAGGGAAAGATAGAATGATGGTGAAATTTTAAAACTTCACTATCTAGTAGTAAACAGCTAATCGCATTCTGGCTTCTGTGCTCAAACTTACTCACCTTGTGATAACAACAGCATAATTATTAACATGGCTAACATTTGAGACTTGTTATATGCAGGTACTGTTTTAAGTTTGCTCTACATGATATTTCAGCATTTTCCCCAGTTTTGATCTTAAGCAAACACCATAAACATAAAAACTTACAGGTAGATAAGCTATTAATTTAAGTAAATCATTAATAAGAATGTCAGCTGACAGATTTTAGGAGGTACTCTTCTTATGTTTTCCATTAACAGTTCTCATTATTGTATCCTATTCCCAAATATCTTAGGTCACGTGACATACATTTTTCATCAGTGAATAAATCAGTTTCTCTTTTTGGGTATGTGACTGCTGGTATTAGGTAACAAGATACATTACTTTGTGACAGTGTTGTTTTAATCAGAATGATTTACTTGGCAATAAACATACAGGATTACTATTTAAATGTAAAGAATAATATTGTAGTGGCTAAAAAAGCACTTCTGTCAAAAAAAAAAAAAATCACAAGTTGTGAGGTATTTTCCTCTTTACTCAAAAAACAAATGATCAGAGTGAAACAAGCTTTTAATAAAATCCCCCAAAGAGGAAAAGTCACTTTGGACTTGGGGATGGGCTAGAGGAAAATATTCTCTACCATCTCTTTAACTGTACCTTTAAAAAATAAGTCCCAAAATTTTCATAAGAGGGAAAAAAGATGAATTTTGGCTTAAAAATTATAGTCAATTTTGAAGTCACAAAATATCCCAAAAGGAACTTCTTTAGAAGATACTTATTCTATACATTCAGAATCTTAATTATTCTGAAAAGAGAATGGGGAATTCTAGAGTTGCAAGGGACTTTATAGACTGTATAGTACCTCTCTTGATCTTGTAGGTGCAGGTGAGTTCACAGAATTTGAGAAACTAAGCGACTTGCCCAAGTTTATACTGCTATTTAATGTCAAAAGCAAGACCAGAGGCTAAACCTAAATCAAATCTCTTCTCATTATTGTATGATTCCCAAATATCTAACAGAATTTAATACCAACACATAAAAATTATAAGACACCATAACACATTGATTTATATATTATTTGCATCTGCATCAATATGTTTAAAATCTATTTCCAGATTATACAACCCTATGACCAATTTGAAAGTAACATGTACAGACTTATCAGCTGAGCCAAAGATTAAAGCAAAGAAGCAGCCAACTAGGAAAAAAAAAAAAAAAATCCCAGTAAGCATCATGCTAAAACCAGAAGTCTACACTGGGGAAGAAACAGGAATGTGCAAGTCTATGCTGCTAAAAAATACACAAATATTTATGCTGTGTGCCACATGGTAAATGTGGAGAGTGCTGGAGTTGGAAAAATCACCATTTTCAATCACCATAGAAAAGAATGGTCAGCCCAGGCAGGATTCACGAATGGATGCTAAATCTAGGGGAAAATTTTGAAAGCATATGAGCATGGCCTGAAAGTATCTCCCCAGATTGCTTATGGATTGCAAGAGAGGAAGTTGTAACTACAGTGGAGAAATCGGGCAACACCTGGACTAGAAGTTAATGTCAAAGTGAGCGGCAGACAGACATCACGAGCCTGCAGATCTTATGGCCTGGGAGGACAGGATATCACCAGAGCTGTGCTCTGGCCTGGTATGCAAAACTCAACTCTCACCACAGGAAAGAGCAGACAAACATGACAAATACTCCCTTAAAAAATAATCCATCAAAAAAAATTCTTCTAAAATTTCAATGTCATAAAAGATAAAGAAAGGCTGTGGAAACATTCCAGATTAAAGGGGACTAACGAGATGGACAATTAAATGCAACGAATGACCCTAGACTGGAACCTACGATGGAGCAGAAAAAAATACTACGAAGAACATTAATGAGTCAATTGATAAAACTGAAATACAGATGGCAGAATAGAGGATTGTAGCAGTCATAAACGTACTTAAGTTGATAACTGCAACAACAAAGGGCTATGGTATATACATAATTTACTCTCAAATAGTTCAAACAATTATACATACGTGTGTACATCTATACACACACACTTACATACAGAGAGAAAACAAATTGGGCAAGATGTTAGTCAAATCTAGATAAAGAATAAACTGGTGGGTTTTTTTGTTTGTTTTTTTTTTTAAAGAGAAACAGAGTCTCGCTCTGTCACCCAGGCTGGAGTGCAGTGGCCCAGTTGTAGCTCATTGTAACCTCGACTTCCTGGGCTCAAGGTATCCTCCTGCCTCAGTCTCTCAAGTAGCTGAGACTACAGGATCACCCCATTACGCCCCACAATTTTTTTTTTTTTTTTTTTGGTAGAGACAGGGGTCTCACTAAGTGGCTCAGGCTGGTCTGGAACTCCTGGCCTCAAGTGATCCTCCTACCTGCCACAGTGCTGGGATTACAGGTGTGAGCCACCACGCCCAGCTGTATTTTTCTTTTTCTTGCAACTTTTCTGTAAGTTTGAAATTCTTTCCAAAAAAAAAGTAAAAAAAAAAAAAGCCTAGAAACATTTTCATTTCTTTTGGGCAAGAGGTAGAGATGGGGCCCATTTAAGAGAACTGTTTCAAACTTGGGGTGGGGGTAGGGGTGGAAAGGTAGAAATTATCACACTGAAAGCAAGAAATTTCACACTGCCAAATCTCTACTTAACATGTGAGTAAGTTTAAATCTAGTCGAACTCCATAAACTTAAATAGTTCCTAGGGAGGTGATGAGCTAGCGTCACCCCACCCGCGCCGGTGACACTCACCAGGCTGGCCGTGAGCAAGGGCGCCGACTGGCCCAGGGCCTGGCTGCGCATGCGCACGAGGTTGGACGTCTCCGCCGAGGCTGGCCAGGCCTGTCCCGCCACCTGGTTTGGAAGGAGGTACCTCCCTGTTGGGTTAGAGAGAAGACAATGTAAGTGGCAGGCAGTTCCATAGCACGGGGGGGAGGGTCTTCCTCACTATCCTTCTGTGTTTTTTTCTGCCATACTTGGTAATAAGATTTATTAATATCAACCAGAGAGAAATTGTTGTAATTAAGTCAGGCAACTCAGTGGCAGGTTCTGACCGACTTCCCACATAAACCCAGGTAAACCTCTTCATCCCCTGTAGTGTGTAGAGCTTCATCAGGGTAGGATGAAGTGTTTTTTTCTGTCTGCCTCTTCCATGGAAATGTGTCGAAGATATATAATACATACACAAAGCATTCTCAGCATCACAGAAATAAACGTGTTTGTCAACATTCTTTGAAAAAAATCTTAATGTGGAAAGTGATGTAGGAACCAATTAGAAAAGAATCTACAAAGTGGAGACTATGACCAACAAAAGGAAGTGGAGTTCTTTCAAGGTGAAACGGGGCTGGAACCTCTTCTCCCCACCCCCTGCTTCTCCCTCTGAAGTGCAGGTGACCATCCAACCGTGTCTGTGGGATACATAATCATATCCATTTGCATAAATCAGGACATCAATGTCAATCTAGGTTCACTGAGCAATTCCCATCAACCTTGAACTCTAATATATACATTTATGCTTTTAAAAGTCAAACAGCTTAACCAATTCACACTATTACTTCCTTGGTACATGGACTTGACTAGTATCGACACACAGGAAATGAGGTTGACTTCAGGAATGTTCGGATGGATGTGAATAGTCACATAGTAATGAAAGTCCCTAAAAGCAGAGACATGTTTGATTTTTATCTGCTTTGCCCCAATACTAGCACAATGACCGGCCGTAATAGGTGCTCAATAAATATTCATTAAATGGAGGAAGAATACGTGGGCATTTCCTTCCCAGAAAACACAGAGACAATGAAAAGATAGCAGGCAACTCATAGGATCATTCGAGGGTCGTGTGTGTCAGGGGACTCCAGCTTATTCCTCTCCAGAATAACAAGGAATCACAGCATGCATAGCTGGTGGCCCCGGAGCAGAGTTAACATCTGTTCCCTTGTTCTACCCTCAGACGTGCACCTACCAAGCACATCACACTGGTTAATAACTACTACAGAACATTAACTAGTTTACCATCACTGCACATGCTAACTACCAGCACTACCAAAGCACAGGAGCTGGGGGCATCTCCCCTCAATTGTCCATATTAAGAGGCCCATTGCTTTATTTAATCCAAGTGCTTTTGGAAATTAATAATTTCAGTTGCAGAGGAAAAAATGGCTTCTTATTCTGCCAAAAGTGCTCTTTCGCTCTCTTATTATGTAGTGAAAGCACAGACTCTGAAGAAAAACTCATCTGATTTTGAGATCTTGCCCTGTAGCCGAATGACACTGAGGAAGTAAGTTAGTCAACCTCTCTTGGTCTTGGTTTTTCTATCTCTAAAATAGGAACGGACAGAATCGACTATGTAAAGTTACTGAGGGGATTAGAGGATTTTATAAGTAAAGCGCTCAGTAAATGTTAGCTATGTAGCCATAACGGCAGTAAAATTGAAAAGTTTCTTTTTTACTTGGGATGAGTTTCTTTTCATATATAAGAAGAAAATGCAAATATATATAATGGAACAAAAACCACCCTATGATCAAACCAGAGAAAACCACTATCAATACTTTACTGATTTTCCTCCAGAGTTTCTTTCTACATGTTTTCTTGCAAAAATGGAATTATGCTGATTTTTGTCACCTGCTCTCAGCCAACCCCACATAATAGATTATGACCTTTTCTAAGCACATAAATATAGCAAATGTCAATTAACTGAAACAAACACTATCACTGAAAATTCAAATGTAATTACCCTCTGTAGTTCTGATCACCATCTCAAAAATATTCAGACATATTTTTGTACAAGGAATGTTACATTTTAAGTCTAGAATTTTAATTTTTTCCTTGCCTAGTTCTGAAATGTAAACTAAAAGGTGAACTAAGAAGGGTTTTGAGAAATCGACCCCCTTTAGGCCCAAATGCAGGAGATTAATGAAGAAGGGCAGGAATACTGTAGACAGCATTTAGGATTGCAGCTTTAGTATTACATGAATAAATGGTTTCTTTAACATTGAAATAACTATTTGAAGGACATTACTTGTTGTTAAAAACATACCAACCTCCAGTAATCTGGATCCATAGATTTATTTTTTTCCTCCCTCCTATGTCTTTTCCTGTATTTGATGTTTTTTATTTTCTTTATTCATGTTTTGGAAGAGGCATGATAGGAGGTGTAGAAGCTACATGATGTCGAGGTTTATATGATGGAGAGAATCTACTCTGGCTTCACTGCTGTTCTACCCCAGGTGCTTCATTTTAAAGAAAACTAAGGGTAGATACGAAAACACTTGGAGAATTTAATAATGGAAAAATGTAAAGGCCAAGTATTTTTGTCCACTGAAAAATTCTGTCAGTCCTTTTTTCCTTTAGTAGAAAATAATTATTAGACAGTCTTCCTATAATCTCATAATGTGAGGAAATAAGTTTATTTCTGTAACTCTAGTACCTTGCATAGGGCCTGGCACTTAGTAAATGTTCAATAAATGTTTGTTCAGTGAAATGCAATTAAACTCTGTTCTTTGAACAATACTTGACCAAATCTAAACAGGAAGAATACCACTGAACAGATCACTTTCTCAAATTCCATTTGTAAGTATAACATGATAGATAAAATACATTGAGGCCTTATTATATGCCAGGCACTGCAGCATCCCAACAACCCTATGGGGTAGATATTATTATCTCCACTTTAAACCCAGAGAGGTTACATAACTAGGCAAGGGCACATAGCTAAATAAGTGGGCAAAACCAGGATTCTGACTCCAAAGCCCAATCTACCACAGGAAAATATTCAACATATATGCTTAGGTAAAGAAAAAAGTTATACATTAAGATAGTATGATTCTATATTTATAAGAATATATATTATATACAGAAAGAGAAAAATCATCTGGAAAGATGGGAACAGAGTGATTCAAACCACACAGGCTTGAAATCAGACAAACATGGGTCTACAATCCAGTTCTTACTCATCCAAGCCTCAATATTCTCATCTCTAAGATGGGGACAGTACCTTACAAGATGGCAGCTAAGGTTAAATCTGGCACTTAAATCTCTCAATGTAGGACATGGAAAGCAGTCAACCGACTATCACCATTCATGTTATCATAAGACCTCCATCCTCCACCACTGCCATAGCAACAGAATAAAACATGGTAATTAGCTTCTTAGGCTGGGCCACAAAAGAAATAAAGAAAAATATTAAGTAATATTAAAATAATTAATATTTCTTCTTGGAAGTGATAAACAGCAAATTAGTAATTGTAGTAATCTCTGGCAGAGAAAATGGAGGATGCTGGATCTGTAATACTTTATTATTTTCAAGACTGCCTGCAAGGAATGATAGGGTCTGCTATTATGATTCAACTTAAAAGTTTAAGAATTAAGCTTTTGACTTGTGGCTTTAATAAATTTAGCGCTAAATCTTTAAAATGTATCTGAAGACTATAACAAATACTAAGTTTTGATAAAGCTGGCTGGTAGGTATATGGGGTTATTGAATATTTCTATTATTTCTACAAATGATATTTTATAATAGTGCTTTTAATGATTCCTAGCAAAAAAATGCGTTCTGCATTATAACATGGCGAACGAGCCAGGAGCACATTCCTTCCACTCCTCAAACTGGCAGCTCCTAAGGCCCAGGGTTAGGGGTCCCCTGGGGTCTGGGGGATGGTGGGGACATGCCAAGGGTCCTGGGCGGGGACGCAGGGAGCCAGGGACATGGGAGCAAAGAAGAACCATGAGGAACCATCGTCCCAGCATCAAAGTCACAGCAACCTTGACTGGGAGAGGCTCTCTCTGCCAATGGGAGGGAGGAACGAAAGCAGGAATAGGTTCCTGAATAAATCCTTGGTGCAGGAAACTCACATGCTAGGATCCTGGCTCAAGGAGACCAGGCACGGTTCACTGTCAAGTTAGACTGTGGACAGAAGACAGAACCAGTGCTGGGGAGCTCAAAAAAGGGGAACCAGAACCACACCCCTTTTCTCCACACAGTCCAAGCTACACTTTGAACACTTCAGTTGTTAAATCTCACAGGGCACTTAAAGGTAAGCAGAAGACCACTGGTAACAAGACGACATGCATGCCATCCTGTCCTCTGAAATCACTCAATTTAACACTATTGCATACATTTTATTTGTTGCTATCTCATGTGTAAATCCAATCTGGGTCACAAGACCAAAGGTATGCCTTCAATTCCTCAGTTAGCTCAACAGCCTAACCCAAAAGACGACCCCTTTGATGTCTGCTAACTGATCCAGCCTTGCCCATATTCTTATCTTACACCCTCCTCTTCAAACTCAACAGGACATAAAGGTGCTTGGTAATGGCAAAAATGAATCACTTCAGTTGTGGTTTATTTTAATGTCAGACTACTGAGTTTCCAACTGTGAACTCCCAAACTGATTCCATCACTTACCATCATGAACTTCTCTAAACCTCAGGTTCCTCAGCTGTAAATCAGAGGTAAACTTACAAGATTGTTGTAAAAATCTAAACTATAGAATGAACACTCAAATATAACCTTAAAAGAAATATAAAGAGCTACCTACCCAACACACATCGGATTATAAAGTGAGCATGAAATAAAATTTTGTTAAGCCACTCCAAAAGAATAAATTAGGAAGCATTTATACACATATGCCATGAAATGTTCATAATCCTATGATGGGTTATGTTTTAGATGTCATTACTCTTGCATATGCCTTATCCTAAGGAATCATATGAATGTTACAAATTGGAAGGTCTGTTAGCACAACACATGGGATGTTTTATTCCTGCCTAGATCCCCATTAGAGTTAATAGGGAAAAGAGGACAACAGATGGATTTAAGGGAGTCATTAAAAGGCACTAACATAGTGCCATACTTGGTAGTGATTACATCAAACTTTAT